ACCATGCTGCACACAGCCAGAACCCCACAGCATGATGCTGCCACCACCATGCTGCACACAGCCAGAACCCTACAGCATGATGCTGCCACCACCATGCTGCACACAGCCAGAACCCCACAGCATGATGCTGCCACCACCATGCTGCCCACAGCCAGAACCCCACAGCATGATGCTGCCACCACCATGCTGCCCACAGCCAGAACCCCACAGCAGGATGCTGCCACCACCATGCTGCTCAGTGCCAGGCGTTACTGGGACCAGTTAGTGACGTGTTGATCCAATCATGCACCTGCCTCCCCCCCACCACTCACCCACAGCACCAGCGGGGAGTCCATGAAGGAGGCCAGCAGTTCGGACAGGGTCGCATCCATCTCGGTCCTCAATCACTCATCAACCCGCCGATCGATCTGGATCAAAGCTGCCGCTGTCCCCCCTCCCCTCCCCTCTCTCTTCCTTCTGTGCACGCGCTCAGCAGCGGCTCACTATTGTCTCTGTGGTTCCCACAGTGAGCGAGCAGCGAGGATGAAAGTCGGTAAAAAGCAGCTGGACCGGGTCAGAACCGCCCACTGAGGCTCCCGGAGGTTCTGGACTCGGTTCCGTTAGTTCAGCGGCTCCATCGAAGCGTCCAACACTTGATCCAAACTTCGTTCCGATAGTTGATCGTGTTGCCAAGGAGACACAAAGAGGAACGTAAAGCGTCGAAAAGCGCAGAAAAGTAGATAAACATGAGGAATCGCGTGAGAAAGTAGTGAAAGTCGTGAGCAGAACCGGGTCAAAGTCCTGTTCCCGCTGGCGGCTCCATCCGGACCGACACCGCCGCTTCATCAACCTGTGAGAGCCGAGAACACAAGGAGGCAGACCGACGGCCCGGACAGCCAATCAGCGACAGGCCACAGCAGCAGCTCCCGCCTTATTGGCTGGACTGACCAATGAAGGAGAAGGCTTTCACACCGGCTCTGACGTCACAGTTTGGCAGAATGACAAAGATGGGTGATGGAACAAGATGATTCCCGCCGGAAGGGAGAGGCTGTTCACCGCATTTAAACCATTATTTTTTAAATTAATCTTGCTTAAATTTGTTTTTAACATTTATTTATTCTTTATCCAAATGTTCCCCGAAATATTCTTTCAAATAAATTAAACATTTAATATGGTGTAATTTCTTTTTCTGTTCTTCTAATCGCCCTTAGAGCCAGAATAATTAACTGTTTCATATTCTTCTAATTTATTTACGATTTTTTTTTATATTAAAGTTCATGTTACGGTTTTTCTTTTACGAAGTTTAATAACTAGTGTCAGCCCCAGTTTTATACTAGTTTGTGTTTTTAGGCACAAATTCCTTTCAGTTATTGGTTTTATTTTGACAAAATATCCCTTAATAACTGTGATATTTTTATTTATTTTTTTTTATCATTATATTTATGCCGCATGAAGATGTCTGCAGCTGAAGCCTAAATAAAATGGATCCAGAAAAACATTAGATAAGAAGAAAAGCTTCGTCTGCTCCTCCTCGTGCAGCAGCAGTTCACTATTGACGCTCCTGGATCCCACAGAGCCCGAAAGTGCTTGTTGGTAGAAGGTAGTTATCTTGTTCTCACTCTCTGATCAGCCTTCCTTGACTCAGTTTGAAAAGGAAACCGATGTTCAGGTCAGATCAAAAGCCAGAGGATAAGCTGCCTGCAGAGGGTCTGCTCCTGCTTCATGCAGGGTGGTCTGCACCTGCAGTAGGCAGAGGTCTGCTGCTCCTGCAGCAGGCAGAGAGGTGTGCTGCTGCAGCAGGCAGGCATGGAAGTCTGCTCCTGCAGCAGGCAGGTATGGAGGTCTGCTCCTGCAGCAGGCAGGTCTGCTCCTGCAGCAGGCAGGTCTTCTCTTGCAGCAGGCAGCCTCCACCTACAGATGTCGAACAGACCGTTCACCTGCTGACAGGAAGCATGCATCACCTCCCCAGACTGACTGAAACCAAAGTTTAGCAAAGCAGAAAACCTCAGATTACGTGGCAACAATCAATAGGAAGACAGCACCACCTCGTGGTCAATGTCATGCACTACAACTGTCCCTCTGGAAGCTGCTCTTATGCAATTAAGCTGCATCAGACTCTTCACTGAAGCAAAGAAGCTTCTGCTTAATTTCTGATCATTAAGGTCAGACGTTCAGTAAAGTGAATCCAGTTGCGTCTGCTGCTCCTGTGTTTAATGGCAGAGAGCAGCTTTGCTATATTGGCTGTGATCAGAGGGTCAAAAGTAGTTTCAAGACAGTGAACTTCGTTACAGTGACGGTGGAAGGAGAAAACGCTGGAAAAACAAAAGTCACAGCGCGGCACTGAGGCCTGTTCTGATTGGAAGACGCCTCGTTATGCGGCCGATAAATGCAACAACTCTGTAGGGTGGGGACTATAAATCTGATATGTGAGACGAAGGTACTGCTGCTGAAGCTCCTCAGAAATGTTACTAGCACCCAGAACAGCAGGAGGAGTTCAGCATCCATTCTTTTCCTGCTTTGTGTCAACTGTCATGGTTGCTAGGCAACATGGCATACGGCAGTGAAAGCCGGGGAAGGCTGGACCTGTTTGAATGCACAGCCAAAACTCTTCCAGCCTTCTTAGTCTCACGGACCTAGAAGGATCCTGTCCAGGTAGACCGGGTCCTCGGAGGATCCTGTCCAGGTAGACCGGGTCATGGAGGATCCTGTCCAGGTAGACCAGGTCCTCGGAGGATCCTGTCCAGGTAGACCGGGTCATGGAGGATCCTGTCCAGGTAGACCAGGTCCTCGGAGGAACCTGTCCAAGGTAGACCAGGTCCTTGTGGATAATTCTTCTCTAGAAGTTATCAAGAACTCATCTATAAATAAATCAGCTGAATAAATCACCATGGTAACGGATGTGGTACTGCTCCAGCTAAAGCGGTTAATGGTCATGTGACCTGCAGACGGAGCAGATCCACTGATGGAAGGAAAGAGCAGCAGCCAGATTCTATCAATCATCTATTTTATTCCTTCATATCAAAACAGAAAAAAGTGATTGAGGAGAAAATGTACATTCAATGCAGGCAGCGCCTCCATGGCCCCCCCGACCAATAGCAGAGAGGTCAGGAGGAGAAACCTTCATTATTGGTGCTTTCTAAACTTCATAGATCTACAATCAATAATACAAATATAGAAAGGACTCTAGAGCACAGTGGTGACAGAGATACTGGTGTCAGGTCTACTATAGGTCAGAATAATACTGGACCGTCCTCACAGACAGTCACACAAACAGTCACTCAGAAACAGTCACTCAGAAACAAACACTCAGAAACGGTCAGTCAAACAGTCAGTCACACAAAAATAGTCACAGACAGACAGACAGTCAGGCAGGCAGGCAGTCTATGGGTTTCAGCCACTGAGGTCTGATCACGGGAGATGATGTTCTGTCTGGTTATTCTTCTGAAACCAGTCAGACCAGTACCAGAGGAAAGCCGTGGCCAGTGGCATCTGTTTTTGCTTCAGGGCTCTAATCAGGCGGGCTGAGGTCACAGGAGGAAACCAGACAGGTGCAGGATTTCCTGGTTCTGGATTCCTGGTCCTGGATTCGTGTCTGTTTACCAGGAAAGCACCTCTGATCCAGTGAAGGCGGCTTTGAAGCGTTTGGTGCCGCCAGCAAGGGGCTCTGAGTGGAAATTCGTCTCCTTTGCTTTCATGCCAGTACTGAGTGTCAGCCATCTTGGTTTTCCTCCCGCTACATTTTAGAAGTCATGCAGTCTGATTCTGAGCTCAGTCCCAACTGTGCTGAACCTGGAGAGGCTGCAGAGAATCCGGTTCTGATGGGAGGTCCGGTTTCATCTCAACACTTTATATACTGCTGTAGGAAAGTAAAACAAAGCCACCCCCCTGCCAGAAGAGGAGGGGGTCACCATAGCAACCGCTGACTCAGCTCCTTTAAAAGGATTGGTTCATTTACTAACTGCTCCCTGTCATCAAACATGACGCAGGTTTCCAGTGCTACGTGCCGCTAGCAGGAGAAATTAGCTGATCCTGTTAGCTGCTCTGTGGCGCCTTCAGACAGAGGTGCTGCTCGGGAAAACAGCGACCAGAGAATAACTGCGATACGCGGGAAACAGAGAGCAGAGAATAACTGCGATACGCGGGAAACAGAGACCAGAGAATAACTGCGATACGCGGGAAACAGAGACCAGAGAATAACTGCGATACGCGGGAAACAGAGACCAGAGAATAACTGCGATAAGCGGG